TTTTGTTTTATTGATAAGAACAAAGAAAGATAAAACAAAGAATTAGTTATAAGATAAATAAATGAGAATAGATGATGACAGCTTCATATCATAAGAAACAACTGATCATTATACTCAAAGAAAATAAATGACAAATATATATATATATATGAACACCTTTAACTCATTTATTTATACAATTTATTGATGAGAGATTTCAATAAACATATAATTATGGGAAATAGAAACAGTTTTCTCACTATCAATATATATTTGAATTCAATAAAATAACAAAAAAATTTTTCAATCACTTATTTAATAAATAGATTTTTAGTTGGAATAAATAAATTGTTAATCATATGTAGATAATGTTAAAATAAATCTAATCTGAATTAAATTTATATATAAATAGGAAGGAAGTATTACCTTAACTATTTATCAATATTAGCCTTTATCATTTACATAGAAGTTCATCTTACAAGAATATTTACTTATTTTTTCTTGTCTTTTTGTACAAATCCTTATCTTCAACAATTTATTTTATTATTCATTTGCATTTTTTATTTTTATTTTACTATATAAATAAACATTCTTTTTTTTTTAAACATAATTAAATTAAGATTTTACTAGAAAAATTGAATTAATAAAAAGACAAAGAAGAAGAAGTTTAAATATTTTTTTTTTTTTTTTTTTTTTGTATTTTATAAAATGTAATGAACTATTGAATATATTAATGAAGTGTTTTCTTATTTGAGATAAATAAATAGTATTGAATTTTCGTTTGAATATATTCTTCGAAATAAGAATCATTATTCAAATATGTTAGTTCATTTCAACATGTCTTGTTGTTTTTTTCGAGTTTTTTTTATGTAAATTAATCGGAAGTTATTATTATACAACGGATATTATTTTACTTTCTATATATAATAATATATTGAAGATTTTTTCTTTTCTTTTTTTTTATACACTATTTATAGAATTGTTCAAAAGATTTTTATCATTATTTTTATAATAGTAAAATAAATAATAATAGATTAAAGTGTTATATAGGTAAATAATTGTTGATGAAATATAGAAATTCCACATAGAATCATAATAGAGATAATAAAAAAAAAAAATAAAACTAAACGACAATATTGATAAAAAGACCTTGTAAGAAGAAGAAAAAAAAAACGTCTCTTTTTCTTATTGAATCAATTGGTAATCTGACAAGCGAAAATATCCTTTAGTGGTCTCACTTGTTATTATAATCTCCCTAATGTGATCATACGTGCACTATTCTCTTTTCTCAATTGTCTATCATATCTTCCTAATGTATCATAAATGTCTATATCATTATTTATCGGAGTTTTTACGTATCAGAATAGAGAATGACATCAGTATTCAACAAAACAATTCAATTGATTGATGAGAACCGGTTATCTTAACAGAAATTAGCCAAAAAAAAAAAAGCAACAACAACAACAACAACAACAATAATACATATAACATATTCGATTTGATTATCTATTTAATATATTTAAATAAAATGAATTATAATTATTATTCAATTATTTTTCTTTTTTTTTCTAGTCTCAATTAACAATATGAAAGAAATTATTAAATTTATTTTTATGTAAAAAAAAAAAAATACCGAAATAATTTGATGAATTTTTATTTAAAATAGAAAAAAAGAAAAGTATCATTGATTTCTATTAACTATAGATTCATCATATAGAACTAATTAATTGAAAAAATTTTAATAAATTCCTTTTGACAATAATCAACCTCTGAAACAAATTCAAATTTTTATATATTATTATCATATTCATAATAGAGAACAAATTTTTTTGTCAAGAACAATTGTCCAAATAGAAATTATTAATCAACAATCAATTTCTTAATATTAACTTTAAATTTGAAAAAAAAAACAAAACAATTCGATTATAATCATAGACGATTCAGTTTTGTCCAGTTTTATCAACCACCTCCAAGACGTTTATTATAAACAAAAACCAAAGACAAATTCTTAGAATAAAACTACTTGTTTGAATCTACTGTTTTTTTTTTAAATTAAGAAATGAATACAGATACATTTGATAAATAACAAACAAATATATTTAAATATTGTAAAGTTTTTCCTTTTTGAAATCTCTTTGGTTTCAATGATTATAATAACAAAAAATGGAGTTCAATACGAATGCGACTTCTGAAATCTAATAACTCTGATATAATTGATTGATTTTTCAGTTAAAAATCTTCTTAAAAACTAGTTAATCTTTGGCAATAAATTTTTTTCTGAAATTTATCTGAAAACAAGGAAAATATTCCAATTAAATATCGTAATGTTGTTCAGTGTTAGTACTTTCCATACATATACAAATCATTAACTAATCTTTTTCTTCAGACTTAAATCAGATTTATTACTTTAAAGATAATTCTACATAATTCCTTCTTTTCAAAAACAAAACAAATGTCGAATATTTAATGATAAAAGTGTTTATTCGTTTCTTTTTTCTGTATAAACAAAAATATCTTTTATAGCTAATTTGTAGTTCTCTTATCGTGGAGATATCAAATGTGTAGTCGTTGGAACAAAAATGTTTTTCGTTACCAAATGATTTGTTGTTGCCGTTTGGCAACATCCGGCCGTAGGGAGAGAAAAATTTTGGAAAAGTCAATTCTTTTTTTGTGTATCAAAATTCGATATTTTGTGGCTTTTTTTTGAATCTATACCTTCATATCATAGCACAATTGGTCTTTCTACCCGTCTTTTGCAAGCCAAAGCTGAAACATCTCCACAATATTGTAAAACTTTGCGAAAAGATGCAAAATTAGCCAGTTTTTTCTGAAACTTTTAGAATTTCCTTGAATTTTAGAACTTCTCTAGAAGAAACTGGCTAGTTTGGCATCATTTTACAAAGTTTTAGAATATTCTGAAGATATTTCAGCTTTGATCTGCAAAAAACGGGCAAAAAGACAAACTGTACTGTGATATGAAGGTATAGATTCAAAAAAACTACAAAATATCGAATTTTGATGCACAAAAAAAAATTGACTTTTTCAAGATCTTTGTATCCTTACGGCCGGATGTTGCCAAATGACAACATCCTCTTTTTTTATTGGTCAGATTTATTCTATAATTCGATTTAGCGATAGAGTAGATTACAGATCCTCGAAAGAAAATTTACCACTAATTGCATCTTCAATTGAATGATCAGGCACAAGAAAAAGTAATTATTTCGATTCGGATGCTCCTTTGGGGTATCGTGAATTGAGTCCTTCATCTCCTCACTGAAAGCTTTATATTTTTCGTATGAATGTATGAATTTACGCAGAAATGTATTGGCGTAATTATCAATGTGTTAACAAAAATTATACGTCATTAATTTAAGTCAATCTGGCAGAAACATTGACTCTATGTTGCCAAACGGAAACATCCGGCCGGAAAAGGTTAAGTACAATGATATTTTAAAGTACATTTTTAAATTATGATTGTAAATACTCAAGTAAAAAATCTAATGGTCAGAATATGTTGAATATATTGTTGTTATTCTTCGAGGTGACAAAGGATATTTATTTATGAAAAACAGCCTACAATCTGTCTTTATGTATTTGACACAAGACTAAGTTTTTTTAATAATGACATCAGCAATAATTAATAATAAAGTTTCCTTCAATTGTCTGTAGAAAAAAAAAGTTTAGATAACTACAGTGAAGGTAAAATATTTCAATATAAAATAGTCCTTATTATTAATGGGTTATTATATACATTTCAGAATTTCATTTGCGTAATATAATTGCAAACGTGTTGATCTGTAAATAATATATGTTAAGAAGATTTAATTCTCATGAAGTTTTATTGAGAAAAGGGTAAAGATGAAATATATTCATCTTTAACAATAAATTAATATATATCATTTAATTGAATATTTTTATTTATCATATATTATTTTATCAAAAATTAGATAATTGATTTATTCACAGAAATTTTTTCTTAGTATTTAGTCGAGAAAATTCTTGTTTATTAAACTATTCTATATTCATTTTGAACTGTTAAATATTACATATATCTATATATGTATCAGTTAATAGATAAATATAAACGGATTGAATTAAAAAAAAATTCTTCAAAACAAATTTTAGGTTTTTATTTTGATAAAAAGTATTTAATTCGTTGTTATTGATTAAATGATTTCTCTTTTTTAATATAATAAGTTGATATAATACTAGATTAATCAATATAAGTAAATAATTAATTGATAAGGAATTCAAAATATTATTTCTAGTTTAGTCTAAAACAACACTGAACTTCTTTTTTTATTTTTTTGCATAACAGATGTCTCACTGTATTTCTTTTAACAATATTAATTACATTTATATCCTTGTTACATGTTGAGTAAAATCTCAGTTGTTGTTTTCTTATTATCTTAAATGAAAAAATATTTATTTTTAGAATTCATAAAAACTAAGATAATTTAAGTTAACAAATTTAAATTGGATAAAAAAGGATTGAGAAGAATTTAATAATTAGTATTTTCTTTATTATTTGTCTATATTTAATGACATTAACATATTATTTTAAACTTAGAATTTATCACTATAAAATAAAATCATCAATTAAAATTTCTTTTTTTTAAAATTTATTGTTGAAGAATTAGAAATATATTCTATTAATATGAATTTTATTTAATTCAATATAATTTT